TAGTCAGTGGAATCATGTTCTACATTCCAAACACCGTTGTCAAACTTCTAGGCTTACAGGAAAGCGGCACTGAATGTCCAATGTACAAGTTTTCACGTTTAAAACTTCGGCCTCAACTTGCTAATACTAAACAAAAAATGGCACACTTAAAATGGAACTATATAATCAACTAACTGACACCTAAATGCAAATTCCAGCACATAATAAACAAAGAAATTTTAATGTTGAAACGTTTATGGCCATGTTATAGAGGCCTCTAAAAGATTTCGTTTTTCGTAAACATTTCAACATTAAAATTTCTTTGTTTATTATGTACTGGAATTTGCATTTAGGTGTCAGTTAGTTTAAATAATACTAAATATGGTATTGTCTTAAAAATTACAAATCAATGTTTAATATAATCATCTCAAATTCCTCATTGGAAGTGGATCAGTTATAAAATAGAGAAAGTGAATGTCCATGTTTTTTGATGTGAATTTACTGTCTTAATTAAATATAAATAATGCTTAAAAATGTTTAAAAACCACCAGTTTGTACAAATTTTTAGATTTCTCAAAATTGCAAGATTTTAAATCACAACACTGACACCCAATAACCAGCAAGAGGAACAAAAATTTTACTGTAACTAATGTTTTCTTCCATGTTTAATGGACATTGTGAGGTTTAACTGATAGAATATATAAAGGAACAACAAAAAAATTAAAATCTTAGGACAACATTTTTAAAGTACAGATCAAGCATGTGTAGAGTTGTGCATGTCAGAGATGAAATATTATTGCAGGAAATTAGGCTAGCTTAGATAGTGCTCTCCTGAAGAAATTTTAGTCTGTCTCCTTCCTTTTTGGTGGTTGTTGGAGTTAGTGGTATGATTTATTTATGTACCAGTATTTTGACAATTGATAGTGACAATTGACAACATTGCAACTTTTGTAAGTATATTCAAACAGAAAAGATGTCAAACAAAAAACTTTGTAATTATATACAGGATTCCTTTTAATTAAATTTCATATACTATATTAAAAATATAAAACTGTAAAATTATAATTTGAGAAGATAAAGTTCATTTTGAAAAACTAAGAAATCTTTTAAACTAACAAATAGTTACTATATTAATTATTAATGAAATGTAATAATAATTTCATGTACGTTTTATGTTAAATATTATCTTAAATTACAAGAAAATTGTGATTATTTATGAAATCTTAGATGTTTCGGTTATAATTTCTGTTGCTGAGTTGATCATGTCCAGAAAGTTATTAGTTATATTGAAGTATGGAATACTCTTTTCTGTCAAATGCAGTGCTTATCTTCTGGAAAATGAATTATTACAACTGTAGTTACTATTAAAAAAGTCTTATGGGTACTTATGGGTTAAGAGGAAGCCAGTCGGAAATAGCGATCAAAGTTGCGTTTTTTAATAAAAATAACAAGACTAATAAATTTAAATCTAAAAAGAAGAAAATTTACTGATAAGGTTGTAAAAATAAAAAAAAATAAAAACAATTAGGATAATTATAGACATCACCTGTTTGCTATATTTGCCATATACTCTACAAAACAATTTCCATATTCTAGTTGTTTATTATTAGAATGTGTGAAATTTTGCTATATCCTTATAAATGGTGGAGAGTGGCTATTTTTATTATTTTATTGCATGTAATAATAATTTTTTCTGTTTTTAAGTAGTTACTTTACTCTTTTATCTTGTAATCGTCTATGCTTTATCTGTAATTTTTATGATTGGCTTATGATGAAATTCCTTTGTAAGTGGACTATTTGCAATTTGCTATCATCTACTTGGAATTTTACCATCCATCTTGGAATTTTATTGGCACTAACAGTAAGAATTATTCTGGACATTTTCAATTTTCATTTTTAGAAAACCACCATGTAAATAGAATTTTATATTTATTAAATTATGCTTTAAAGTTAAGTCAGAAAACAACATCCTTTTTGTTTTTTATTTTAAAAAGAAACTAATAAGCATGATAGTGAAGATATCAAATCAACAATACAATCATCAGTTACCCAATTGTAGAGAAACTTAATTAACCGTATAGGTTTTGCCTTCTTTATAACCTCTCTTAAATGCTCTTCAATATAAGTATACATGGATTATCTATGAATATGGAAATACAATTTTCTAACTATTAATTTGCACAGATCTCCAGAAGGTGTTTTCCCTATCTGGAGATCTGTGCAAACCCCTCCATTAGAACCCCTTTTTTTTGAAGATAGGGGGCTACCCATTGAAATCCCAAATTTATCTGGAGATCTGTGTGAATTTGAATTAATAATTAATATTTGAGAGCCAGATCTTAGAAAACTTCACTATGGAAATACAATTTGTGTGATGTAAGTACAGTAATACCTTGACTTATGCTACCCCAACTTACGTGGACCCGGAGTTACATGACTTTCAGATCTCGTTGATTTGTCTTATGTTTGAGGGCCACGCAGCTTTTGATTACTCACTCCCCCCACACTATTGTTCAGCTTACATGTTCAGACGTGTCGCACGGAATCAACACATAGCTACAATTTATTTTGTGTTATTTATTTCTGTGTTTATTATATCTAGGGAGATTTGAGAGACTATGTGGTGATTTCTTGTAACCGTGAACGAATCAAAAGACAAGATAAGATTAACAAGAACATTTATTAGCTTACGTACATCTGACTTGGATTTTACACAAATTGCGAAATTATACCCGACTTACGCGAATTCGACTTACATGGTTATCGCTTGGTCCCACCTATCGCGTAAGTTTGGGGTATTACTGTATATTGTAGTATCAAAGTGGAGAATGTAAAATAGAGTATGTGAATATTACAAATATTTTGGAATTGAAACCAAGATGGGAGAGAGAATTGAGCAATAGGAAACAGAAAAAAACAAGGAAAGGCACCAAGGAATCTAATAGAATGCCATCTCAAAAAAAAGAAAGAAAAAATGGAATATATATAAAAAAATTATAGTGAGAGTTTGTATTACATAGAGCTAAAATGCAGGAAATATCAAAAAGATTAAAGGAATCTGGCTAAGTACAGCTGAAATGGATGCACTGACAAGATTATGTAGCTTATTATTCATGCACAAAATAAAAAATGAAAAAATTTAAAGAAGTGATGTACATAAAGAAATCAGTTGATGAAAAAATAGACAGTTAAAATGATGTGGTTATATGAGAATACAAATGCCAATGAAGGCCTTGGAAGAGTTAGACCAAGAAAGATCTGGAAACATGGGTGTCTGCAGAAAATTTTCCAGGGAGCAAAGCTTAGAGACAAATAATACATCAGTAAATCTTTATTTAATTATTTTGGATATTTTTCACAAGTAGATTATAGAATACAAAAAGACCTTTGTATTCTATAATCTTTGTCCTTGATCATGGAATACTTTGTCTTTTTGTACTAATGTATTGCATTAGTACAAAAAGAAAAAAAATATTTCATGATCAAAGGTGTAAGGCTATGTAATTCAATCATTTTTATGATTATAATTTGTGGAATTTTTATTTGATCCAGGGGAGAGCAAGTGCTCCATATGCCCCTCTGCAGGCACCCATGCCTGGGAAGAAGGTAATGAAAAATGGATGAGGACAAAGACATTAAGGGAGAAATATGTATGAATAGAACAATATAGAAAAACTGTCTGAAAATTAGAAGATTTATAGAAAATATATATATGTGCATTTTGTAGAGAAGGTGTTGTCTTTACAATGTAAGAGAGAATTTCATAATATTGCACAATATTTTTATTGTTTGATCCATCCAGCTGCTACTACATTCCACCTGGCTAGTAAAAATTTCTGAGGTATCCTTCTTTTCAGTTGTTTATAATCTGATTGCAACATGTAGCTATTAGTAGCTTCTTAGCAATTCATTTGTGTAGGTTCTTGGTATTGGTTGTTATCAGCATAAATTTATTCCATTTTAATTGTGCTTTTGTGTTACTAAGTATTTCTTGTGGTAATGTAGCAATTGATTTCCTTTTTATATCTGAGTTTGCTTATTGATTCTGTTTTTTAAGATTCTGTACATGCTTCCTACATATCATTTTTAGGTCTTGTGCACTTTAATAATTTGCCTCTTTGAGGGAATTTTATAAATTCTTAGATTCTGGCACAAACAATTCTTAGAAAGGACTTTTATTTGTGAAGGGATTTGTTTATTGTCTATATAGATTCATGAATGAAGCTTCTCATCTCTTGAATATAATTAGCACTTATACCACAGATTACCAGTAAATGAATGTGATATAACTTATTATTTTCATGTTTATGACACATTTGTTTTAGAAAAACAATCAGGAATATATGACGACAGGCATATATTCTTTTGCATAGACTTAATGTTGGAAGACAGTGCTTATGCCATCCGTAGAGGATATTTCTTTTCATTTGGATCCAGTGTGTATATTTAGTGTTTCCTTTGATAATGCCATTGTCTTTCTACCTTCAGAATCATTTGATCTGTGTTCTTGAATTTTTATTTCTGTACTTTGTACTGTCTACATAGAATTTTACATCATTTTACAACTTACCTATCATATATATACACTTAGCTTAAAATTGTCACAATGCTTTTTTCTAGTATAAAAGAAACAAAATACAAATGATGATACTGGAAAGCAACACATCATCAAAAAATTTTTGAATAACTGGGCAAAACAAGCAAGGTTGGGCTGATGGAGAGTGACGCTAGCAGTGGTTGGGATTTTTGTTAAATTACTGTTATATAACTTTGAACTTGATCTGATTCACAGTTATATAATAACTATCAAATATTTGATAGTTTATCTATGTATGTATATATTACATGTTCAGTATTAGCTTTTTCAGCTAATTATGTGTGGCTGATACTGAATGTATATAAATCATTTCAAAGTGTTATAAAGTGTTGTTATAATCATATAAATTAATTTAATAATTATGATGATTTATAAGTTATACTTAAATTTAAATAAATTTACTTTTAATTTAATTATATTTTAGATGAAAGTGAAACTCAGAAGTCACAACTGCAACCTCTGTCAAAACCAGAAATATCAATATTATGTAGTTATGTTCAAGCTTGGACTCAAAGGTAATTAAAAGTATTTTTGAAAATGTTTCTCTGTTCTCTAAGTTAAAATTTTAAAGGTAGTCTTTGAATTATTAATTTCACTTATTGCATTTTTATCAGATTACTTATTAGTGTTAAAAAGAAATGTTTCAGAATATGTCAACTCCATGCATTATGAGAAGAAACACAAATTCTAAGATGATTGTTGGAGTCTCTGCTTTTATTTGCTTAAATATTTTTTGAGACTTTTCCATTCCATCATCAGACCTGCAAATTTTGAATGAGAACATTTGTATGTTTCTATTGTGTTAAATAATCATTTGAGATTTAGAATTTCTTCAGAATGCTCAATGGAAGTATATTGTCATCAGGGAGGCAGGTCATAAGCATCAATGAGTCAACTGTAAGGGAGGAGAAAAATTTCTCTCTGCTTGCTTATGGGAGAACCTTAATTATTTGTGTGAATGAGTGTCTTCTGAACTTATTCAAACCAATGTATTTTGAGCTTTTCCTCATATAAAAGTGTTTTATATGAGGAATAATGCTGCTAAATTGCAAATATAACATTTTCATGTATAATTGAAAGACTAGGTGTATACAACTATTTGAAAGTATATCTGTACAGCATAAGGGGCAAAGTATCATACATCTATTGCAACAGGGCTTGCAATGGATGTATGATACTTTGCCTAGTCACACACCATTTAGTGGGAGTTTTTGTCATGCCAATATCATGATTTGTGCAGACTTGATACTTGCAACTTTTTGTCTGTCCTGTAATTATATGACAATTCTTGTTCTAACTTAAGATTTAAATATTCTGGGTCTGATGATGGGATGCAGAAATCGTGTAAAACATTTAATGAAATAAAAAAACTATTTGTGTTTTTCCTAATAAGAAATAGATTATTTAACAATTAACATTTATTTAATAAGTAAGGTTTTAAATAAATAAAAAGAAAAAACAAAAATAATACTAATTAAGGAAACTAAGAATGTAATTAAGAGAGATGTTTTTAGTCTTTATTTTAACCCATCATCAGCTCTTTCAAAAAAAATCTCTTATTTAGAATGCAGAATACACACAACATTCCATGGACCATTTCAAATATTTAACTTTGTAAAAATTTTTTGCATTTAAAAAATTGCAGGAAAATATGGGATAAAATGACAAATAGGAATAAAAATAGAAATTTATTTACTTTCATTTCTGTTTGTTTATATTATAAAACTGGAAAGTTTCTAATTATTCTGTTGTAGGTTGTATGCCCAATGATCCCAATAACTGCTTCCATATTCTGAAGTTTGCAAGTTTTAGGTTTATAACCTTGTCATTTTTGTTGAACTAATAAAGACAGTTTTGGTTCCGCTTAATTAGGCCACCGGTTAGTTGTGACAGCGTTTAATTGGGCCAAATCTCAAAGAACGGAAACTAAACTAATAAATTAATACATAATTTAAATGCTTAATTGGAACAACTTTTTGCTTAATTGAGAGTAGTAGAAAAATGAATTTAGCAGTTTTTGATATACTTTCAGAAGAGCCTTAAAATATGTCAACAGTATGTACACTAATGACTTGTAGACCTAACAGTTGGGGGAACAAAGCAATTTTGTCTTTAGCTCTGGTGGATTGTTTTTTTTCTGGAGGGGGAGGTCTGCATAGTGGGACAGATCACACCGGCATCCTGTTCTGGATTGGACCAAACGATCCCTTTCAAAGTGACAAAGACTCCTGGACAATTTTTTGAGGTCTCAACTGAAGTTGGAAGACAGAGCTAGAGTTCCCTTGGAAGGTGTTGTGTGCATGATTACATTTAGACTTGGACAGCAGCCATTCGATTGTTGGGACCAGCATCTGGAGATGGTGGATTCTATAGACACTCCCGGCAAAGTGGCCCATCTCCTGGTAAAAGAAACTGTGCTCAAAGAAAGGCCTTAAAGTGACTTTTGGACAAACTTGGACATGTTTTAACTAAAAAGGGAGAAAGGATCAATCCATTCCTGATCGAACAGTCAACCCTTGTGTATGTCACTACTAACATTTGGCAACACTAGCGTGATGCGAATCAGTTATCTATCGTCGTGAGTCTGGCAAATTTATAGTAAAATATTTTAGGTACCTAATTATTTTTTTATCTACTTATTTATTTAACTACATATTACATATTTTAGAATTTATTATTAGTTTGTTTAATTGGGGAAGTTGCTTCCCCAATTAAACAAACTTAATTGGGCTAAATGAATTAGTCCCAATTAAAGTGGAATCGACTGTATATTGTATTCCAGTTTTTGAGCTATGAAATAAAGTTATGTTCTTTAATAATGTGGGGATGATTCAACAGGATTTAACACTGATCACAGACCTACTAAGCTAAAGATATACTAGTTAAGGTGGTGACTTTACTAATTGATGTGAAATGTTTGTTCATTTTACAACCAATTGATGTATACTGTACTTTTGGTGTATGGCTGGAACAAACTGTAATTTTTAGCCATTGCACTTATTGCATCTAAGATGGGTGGGTGTCAGAGGCATTCAAGTTTGTAGAGGAGATAATTGAGATAACCAGCTTTTCTGAAAGCCATGCATATTTGCTATGTTTCTTATATATAAAATTTCATTCATACTAACTTTGTCTTCATCAGTTTTTACGTTCACTGATTAGCTTCACATCTGAGATAGAATAATCAATATTGGATTGATCATGTAAGTTTTCAAGTTCTGCTAATAATTGCTCACTGGAATTGCTTTTATGATGAGCCAATACATTTTGCTGCTAAACAAACAGAATGAGTTAACAAAAACACGTTAACACAGATAGATAAAAGTGAGTGCACTAAACATTTCCAACATTTATTTCAATAAGCAGAGCATGCTATGACCATTCTAGTGTTAACTATATGGATAGTCTAAACTTGCTTTTATTCATTTATTGCAACTTTTAATTTAAAGCATTAATATTGTAATTTAATTCTGTATTTTATATATTTGATTGTAAATTATATATTTCATTACGAACATTTTTATTTTGTGTAGGCAGTGCACTTGCTGTTATAAAGATCCAAAAAACTTTGACAGATTTAATTCTGTTATACAAGGACTTATTTTAAGTGTATTAGAAGTTCTTCAGAAATTATTAGAAGAATTGAAAAGTGAAAGTGAAAGAGAAAAATGTGATGAAGAATCAAAAATTGATGATCATTTAATAGAAAACTGTCATAAAGATCTGCTTAACGACAAAGATTCTACAAATGTAGAAAGGAAGATCTCACAGAATAAAGATTTTGTCATCGATTTACCAAAGTTAGTTAATGAAAAAAGTGATAATGATGATGTCAAAAAGGAAGAAATAAATTTGTCCGAGTCTTGGTCGTTGGAAGATAAAGAAAAATTATTACATTTTTCGGCAAAAGTATTCCTTCTTAATTTTCCTTTATATGTTGCATTCAAACACAGTGTTCATTCCAAACTTGAGGTGAGAATATTTTGTTTTTAGAATATTTCTAGTTATAGTTTTTAATATATTACAATGAAATTTAGTTTAAAAATTTTAAGATTTAATTTGATAAAGATTTGAATTATTATTTCTGTCACATTTATAAATCTTAACTTTTTGAATTTGTTTTCGTGTTTTATAACTTGCATATTCTAATGTTAATGACAAATTATTAAAACAAATTTGTAACTAAACAATATTTTTAAGCAGATATAATTTTTATCGGTAAAAATTAGTTACTACATATTTTTACTTTCTTGGCTGTTTTGTATATATTAGCAGGGAAAGTATGGTGATTAGTAAAAAAAATGATTTTTATATATTTGGTCTTGGGACATTGAAATATTGAGAAATGCAAAAAAGTTTAGGGGTTTTTTTCTGTATGTATGTATGTTGGTATGTGGGGGCAGTCACAATTTTTTTTGCCCAGTTTGAATTTTAATAACTCCCGTGCTTTTTGTTGAAAACTTCTGAAATTTTGCAGGGAGGTTTGTATATTAGGGGATCAATATTATTAAATTTTGATGGTTAAAGATTGGGGTAAGGAAATAGAGGGAGGTCATGTGTCATATCTTGAGTGGGGAAGGATTCAATGAAGATTTTACTTATTAGCATTTTAAATTTTTTATAAAACTTGTCTCTACCCTCAACAGTTTTTGTCATTTTATAATAATATAAAAAGTTTTTAAAATAAAATATCATAACAGATGGTGCCACAATTTTTAACTTTTTTGCTGGGAAAGTTACAGAACTTATTACTGGATTTTTTTCATTAGTAATTGCAACAATTTGAAGATATATTTGAATCTGTATATTGAGATCAACAATAATGAGATTAACAGATTGAATGAAAATAAGATAATGCTTGAAATCTGAAATAACATCAAATTATTAAGTAATTTATCAATATGGCTGGAATTAAGTGAGTTAGAAACCATCATATCATCTAATAAAATATATTTGTGTCTAAAAAATAATCATAATTGCCCAAAAGGTAGAGAGCATAAAGTAAACAAAAGGTAGAAGTGCATCTAGGTAGCCTGTATGGTATCACTTCTGGAATCGCAACAACATGCATGCTTTGAAAGTTAATCTAAGTGTCGTCATCTTTAGTTTACAAGATTTCTAATGTCATTTCAGATCTAGATTAATTTCCTAACATTTTATAACTTTGTTAAGAGTAATTTAATTATTCAGGTTCAAAAAGTTATATATTGTTGTTTGAATCATTGTTTTCGAAGTTTACATTTTATATTTTGTCGTTTATTGTTGTAATGGCGGAGTTTGGAAAACATCAACAATTTTCTTGGCAAAAGTGTACTTCAAGGGACTTTATTCATTTTTTAGTATTGGAATATCCTGAATTTAATTCTGACATAAGAATTTCATCAGTTGTAAATTAAATTATTGAAAGATCATCATTCTGTTTCTTTTAGATATCATAAATGCAAGATGAACAGTTTGTCATTTCAAGTAATTTTTAAATGTAAATTTGGGAAAATTTCTGGGAAAGCTACTTTTTTGTTTATTTGACATCTAATTTGTATAGAATGTATGTTGAGCATCACCTGTATGGATCTGGGTGTGAGTAGTTGAACAGCTGTTGACTGGGCAAATTTCATACAACACATTATGATTGTTTCATAGTGTAATTTTACTGGAATGAAAATTGGATGGCCCTAGAAAGGTTGTCGAAATCAACAAGATTGTTGTGAGCAAAAGGAAAAAAACTAGGAGAATGGTTTGACCTGTTTATTCAGCATATGAGTAAGTTTTATCCAGGAGTGGGATGTGTTTTAGTTTGGAAAGATCCAGATATTGTACTTTCAGCCCTGAAAAAGGTACCAATAAATTCAAAAATCATAAGAATGTGTGAAGAATGTGAAAAAAGTTTCTACAATGGAAAAGGATAAAGTTACGAAAGAATCATCTGAACAATGTTTTTTTACTGAATAAATTGGAGAAAAGGAATTATCAATAGAAATATGTCAACGGTGAGTGAAAGATTTTTTTTCTTTAAATGCCCTAAGTAGCTGCACCAGTTGTCATTTTGACCATAAATGATGTGATGGGATAATTCTCTGAGTGAAAGAGAATTAACTGTAATTTATTTGAGAGTAGTGTTATAATAATAACTTTTGCTGAAGTATGATTACATATTTATTTCATAGTACACAATAAAAGCATGTATGTACACACACAAATAGAGAATTTTCGGCTTTCTTTTGAAAGATTGATTCTGGATTTTCCAATCATTTTCTGTTCTTAAGCTTGATGTTTATTAATTAATGAATATACCATGCTTGTAATGTAAATCACTAAGTTTAAAATATATTCAAAAGAATTGGAATTGGAAGTTGCAGAATTGAAATCAAGAGAAATTTTGGCATGATTCCATCACTAGTAGAAACACACCATTATTGATCATGTCATGAGTCACGGGCAGTGACTCCCCACCAAGTTAAAAAAGTCACTGACTGACTATATATATATATATATACTGGAATAAGTTTCCAATTTTCATGGGTCAGTTTCTTTTCCCTCAAACACTGAAAGTAATTCTGAATATCTGGTTCGAAAGAAAATTGTTTTCTTAGGTAGTGTGCAAAATTTCAAAATTTTCTATAAAGTGGTTGCTGAAATATAAGCAATTGAAAAGTGCAAAAATTGTCAAAAAAAATTGTTTCTTCTTCTCCTTCGTTTTCTTCATCTGGAACTGTAGATGCTTGCATATATATAAAAAAAAAAAAAAACTATTGTATGTTGAAAACTCAAATTTTTAAACTTAAGCCTTTGTTGTTATCAGTGAGGTACTGGCAAAACTTCTGGATAGATATGTCAAAGTTCATGGGGGATTCCCATAGAGCTAATTCAGTTTTATGCCACATCTCAGATGTATTTCACATCTCAGATGTATTTGTTTGGATACAAATAATACAGATAACTAGAAGAAATTACAGTGAAAATAAAAGAATTAATGCATTGCAATTGCATATACCAGTTGCTGTCTATTTTTTTACAGAAAGGTTTCTCACTTTTTGGTCACATTTTACTCATTCTTTCTGTCAAAAAATTCACTTTTCTCACTACTTTTGACTTACTTATGAGCCCTGTAATTTTCATTATCTTTACCTAGAAACATGGAAATTTCAGCAACTTTTCAATGCCAAATTACTTTCCACCCACTCTTATCAATTGTTGGAGTCCAAATTTTATTTTGATTAAATGTTGTTTTGAACTTTTACAGTTTCATTTTTAGATCCATACAAAAACTGAACAAAATGTTTGAATAAAGAACAAATTAATAAATATAGGTTTTAAAATATATTCTATATATTGTAAAAAATATTATTCTAAAAAAATATAAAATAAGTACTAGTAAAAACACAAAAGGCCAATGGAAAGTTAATAATAATGTTTTCTAATTTAAACACCACATTTAGAGATACATCTGTCTTTATTTAAATGGGAGCTGAGCCAATGGCTATCAACAATTATTTGAAGGATAACTATAGTAATTATAAAAGTTTACATCCCACTTTCTATCTTACTATAATTGTAGTTTAACATTACATCTAACTTAGGATATATTTAAGAGAAGCAAGTGGCAGATCCCAAAGCTAAAAGGCAGGGCTAATTCAAAAATTAACAATATTTGAATAATTAAGTACCTATTCTTAACATATGCATTTCAGTTGTATTGCAGATGGTCAGAAAAACTGTTTTCTATCTTGAATGTTTTTAAAAGCAACGTTTTGAAGTTTGAAGAAATTTTAATTGTTTTTTTTTAATGCCAGTGGGAGAGGGCTTAAGCCACTGTAGTTCTCTCATTGGTGGATACAAGAAAAAAAGTAATAAAAAATCTCCCATAATTTTGTCCACCCAGCAATATGCTCATTTTATTTTAAATGTAATGGATCTTCTTCTAAGGAGAGGTTCCTACAGGTTCCATAATTGCAGAAGAATGTGCAGAGTTTTAAGTTTAATAGAATTACCTTTATTTGCTTATTATTGTAGCCTTCAAGTATATAAATGAGTTGCCGGTTATTTAAAATGAAATGGATGATTGGAATGCACAGTAAAATCTGTGAGAGAAAGAACTGTCCTAAGGTAAAAATCTCTGAAAGCTGGAACTAACTTACTTACTTATTGCCATCAAATTTTTCTCACAAAATATCCCATCTAAGATGGACTTGAGAGAAGTGGATGGAACGCTACATGTATTATACTTCAATTATTAATTTTTATTAGTTAAAACATAGTTAAATAATTAGTTTATTAGTTAAATAATTTCATAATTGGTATTAATGAGTTTATAAGCTATTTGTAAAATGTAATATATGTGATTAAGGTCACACAAATTACATTTAATATGATCAATAAGTGTCTAATATTGAACAAGGAAGCAAAGTATATTAACAATTAGTAAACTTTAATAAATAAGACCAAATTTACACACTTGACATTAAGACACATTTAATTTACATATCTATCTGATCCTATGTGCACCAGTGAAGAGTATCTGCTACTTTTAGAATCTTGATAGTGAACCTTGTGACTAAGTGAATGTCATCACGACGGACTACTACTCTAGAGGAAACTTAGAAAATTTTTCAGCAAGTGAAAAGAAAGAAATTTGTTCAATTTTTTGTTTAATCTTAGTAGAAACTTCAGAAAATACTTTTGTTTCCATTCATATTTACCCTGTATTTTACATACACATTCTTTGTCTAAGTCCAGTTTGGTTTTGACACACAGGAAGATTGTATACTTTTACAATCTTTTATTTGAAGCTATGTCTCAAATAAAAGATTGTCTCTGTAACTGAAAATTGTTTTTGGAAGTTATTGGTGTTTTGTAATGATGGAACAAGAAGACAATTTTTTAGCTTCATGTAAATTTTATTTATATGTTTTAATGTAAATACTGTCACCAAGATTTGATTTTAAAGTTTTAAGTTTTTTTACTATTGTTTTTGT